AATTTTCTGAAATCAGATTGACATGAAATTGCTTGTCTACAAATCGCCTCCACCTTAACAAACTTTTTTTTTTCTTTTTTTAATTTTTTTTACCACTAAACTCCTCACTGCAAATTACAATCCATTGAACCAGAGAGCTAGAATTGATTGTGCACTTAAAAAAATATCCTGGAACAACTGAATAAAGAAAAGAGCTTTCTGGAATCTTAAGGTAAAATCTGAACTCAAGTGACAACAAAACTTTTACCCAATTTGAACTCATATTCCCTTGATCATTACAAAAATATAATATACCTCCAAATTTCCCCTGATGAGGGAAGGAACTTTTTTTTCCTTTGTTTAGCCTACACCAAAGCATGGTTATAGATGCCAAAGAAGGTGAATTTCAGTATACAATATTTTTATGAGGCATTCTCTACTCCAGCTTCTTTACATCAGTTTCGTATTGGAAAGCTAAGGCAGAAGAACCCAATTGCTTACATTTTAAATTATTTTTTTATTAACATTTTATGTATCACACATTACAATTCTAGCAATCCTAGCCTAAATAGTGTTATAGTGATGTTGTTGTTGTTGTTTTACCACTTTCTTCTATAATATAGAAGGTAAGTCTTCTTAACGAGTTGTGAGGAACTGTACTTAGTTCTTTCTACCGGAGTTTACAGAAGCATGGCTCAAATTGCAAATTTTATGTTTTGCAACTTGCAAATGAATAGTAATCTTGGCACTTGCTTTTCTATTCTGAGCTGAAATAACAACATTTTAAACAGTTAAACCTTCACTAAGAGCAAAATAGGCTAGCATACACTTTGTTTTAAGCATCTTAATTGATTTCATTGGTCTTTTCAATTGTTTAATGCTGAGCATAGGCCTGTGTACTTTCCAGGCATGCTGGATGGTATTTAGCAGAATGAATTTCACCCTGATAACTAACATTTCTTTAAGAATCCTTATAAAGTAGGAAGTATGCAAAATAAACTTTCATTCTCAAGGTAAACAGAGAAAATAACTTTTTGTGAGCATTGCCTTTTTATTGCTGCATCCAGCTGTAAATCATGTCTTGAAAGCAAAATCATCTTCTTTTTAAATGCATTTTTTGAAAAATAGTGCATTATTTTCTGTTGAGCTGTTGAGACAATTTCCTGCCTAGATCTGGTGCCCCATCAATTCTAGAGTATAAGAAAAAGTCACTCGGAGCCATAGGGAACAATTTTGGATTTGCTGCACACACATATATCACAATAGATTTGCCTATAGTACTTCAGCAGATGATGCTTAACAAACTCCTATTTTCACTATTTTGGGATTAATGTTCATATTCCTTCAGATTTGTGCAGTAACATAGACTCATGCTATGTGTAACTGGAGGATTCTTTTACTTTCAGTGTGCAAAATTTGAAATTTGAATGCAATTACAGTAACAGGAGAAACTCTTTCAAATGAGTCTCAAAAAAACTCTGGCCAAAAAACATGAAAAACTCTCCTGTAGAGAGAGAAATTGCATGCATGGTGTTAGCATAATAGCAAAGGCTGAGACACTGCTTTGCACTACGGTTTTATGGGATGATATTTTAAAAAGTATTCAGAGATTTATGACTTTTTAGGGACAACTAAAATTGTTTTCACACTTTTAATATTGCTTTCATTAGAATGTTGAAAGTCTGCTTATGGTATCAGATTGAATTCTAAGGTGTTACCAAATCATCCAGAGTCCCCACTGCTTAAGTGTATTCCCTCATATTCCTACGTATCTTCAGAGGAAAGGGAAAAATGGGAGGAATATAAGTACTTTGTTTTAAAGTACATAATCTATATTCTGTCATGTACTTCATCTCCCAGGGAAGGTATCTGGGAACTCACTCTGCTGTTTTTATTTATCTTTCCAATGTACTATATAGATGAGAGTACTAAGGTCCAATGGTGTTAAAACAGGACATGAAATATTGATTAACTCTTTTTTAAAATTCCGTCTTCCTCCTGAGTATAGCAAATTTCAGATCCTACTGCCAATATAGTACTCTCCAATAAACCTCCAATATTGGAAGGGTCCTGATCTTCGCAGTGTTTTTATAAATGGTTATTATGATTCTAAATGGCTTTAAAAGTTCAAGGATAGTGTTCCTCTGGTACAAAAGCAGAAAGCAAGTCAGAAGCAGTACAGCTGTTTATCATGGCAGGATGTTGCCCTGAAGTAACATGAACCAGGCTGGGAATTCTCCTTGCTAGACAGCAGAAGAACATTTTGTTCGAAGCAACGGAGACCCTAAAGGGACACATAAACAGATGTACAGTTTTGTGGCTATAAGGTGTCAAGCAAAGAAGCACAATTACAATTGGTCTCCACCTAATGAAAGATGGGTATTTAACACCCAGCCTTTTGTTCCCACTTGTCATTCTTCAGCACTAAGTTAACCCTCTATTTCTTGCTTCTGGAACGCTCCTCTACTCTACAAAGACAGCTCAACAGACGCTTAGGAGTTTCCCCAAGGATAAAGACTTTTCAGGAAAAGTAGGGATAGAAGTTCTTCATGCAGTCTAACCTGTGGGGAATGCTAGACATGGACAAGGAAAAGAAGATGTAACCCAAGGTCCTTTGAGTGTTCTTGAGTACAGGAAAACTCTCCAGGAGTTGAGATAGTTGTTTTTCTCTTAAAAAAAAAAAAAAAGGAAAAAAAAAAAAAAAAAGATTTGTTTGAACTGCTGGAATGTAAAGCTCTTGGAGTTTATCTGATTTCGACAACAGTAAGCATTCATCAAAGCAGAAATTTGATTCTCAGTTTTGTGTGTGTCAGGTCAGTGTTATTATAAAGGTTGTGCAACTACTTTTTTACCAATCTTCTTAATCTTACCAATCTTACTTTGTCCAACTTCAACAAGAAAGAGCAAGGAAATAACACCAAATCTGAGCCAAATGCCACTGACTGACAGATTAACCAGGGGAAGTTACCATGGTATTGTGTTGGGTCTGTCTGAGCTGGAGTCACCTTTTCCCTGCAGCAGCCCACACAATGCTGTGCTCTGCACTCGTAGCTGGAACAACACTGATATCACTCCAGTGTTGTCTGTTGCTGCACAGTGCTGGCACAGCATCAGGACTCCTTCCAAGCCCCCAAGAGCCAGCAGGCTGGGGGTGGGCAAGTGTTGGGGAGGGGACATCACCAGGGCAGCTGACCTAAACCAACCAAAGGGATATTCCATAACACCTGATGTCACACTCAGCAATAAAAGGGGGGGCTCTCGTGGGGGAGGGGGCTGTTCCTCCTGAACAACCACTACACGTTTGAGGCCCTGCTTCCCAGGACGTGGCCGAACACTGCTCGCTGATGGGAAGTAGAGAATAATTTTTTCTCTCTCTGTGCTTCCGCGCGGACTGATTGTTTCTTTTGTTTCTGTTTTTCCTCCCCATTCCCTTTCCCTTTAATTAAACCTTTCTCATCTCAAACCTCGAGTTCTCTGTGTTGTATTTTCTCCCCCTTCCTCTTTGAGGAGAGGGGGAGTGAGAGAGCGGTTGTGGTGGAGCTTGGCTGCCCACCTGAGTAAAACCACCACAGGTATGTCCTTGCTCTGAATCAGGAAGAAGCACCTGAAGTTGGTTCTTGTGTCTCACAGGAAAGTTGGGTTTTACAGGCCAGATGAGTTGCTGTATGATATATATATGTGTGTGCGTGTGCGTGTGTGTGTGTGTGTACATATATATATCTATATGGGTTTTCTTTGTTTGTTTGTTTGTTTGTTTGTTTTTTCCCCCACAGGAAAGCTTTATTCCTACCTCAGGATAAAAATGTTTTCAGACTTTTTGTTGATGGGGAAAACTGATTTGCACATAAGCCTACCTGGGAGTTCTTTTGCAGCCAAACTTAATTGAGTGCAAACCTTAGGTTATTTTAACTTATGATGGAGAACAGACTGCTCCCTGCTGTACCTGAAAGCCAAAAGCTAAAAGACGTGGCATAGAGCTACACTATCGCCTCCTCTCACTCGCACATGGCTGAAAGTTAGGGCTCTATTAAGATGGTTTCATTACTTCTGTGGTGTCTTTCTTTGGAAACTGGATATGTTATTTATAATTTCAAGATAATGATTTTCATTGATTTCAGTCAAACTGAAAGCAGTACATGCACAAAGCTGGACTTCAGCCAGTTTGTAAGCATTGAGTACTAAGTGTATTCTTATTACTTATGAGGTTTTAAAGTAGTAAGTGTTGCTTGCCCAGATTATATTGGGTGATTTTTTTGACTCCCAGTCTGCCATTGGTAATGCTTGTGTGAGTAGAGTGAACAAGGTTTGGTCTGTAATCAACAATGCGCACATTTGCATACATAGCCAGTATGTGACCAAATCCTTGCAGATAATACTTTTGGACTGATTTAATGGGACTAGTTATTTGAGCAAAGGTTATCGATTTGGGCAGCATCCTCTTGTGCTTTTTTCTCTGTGTTATTATCTTAAAGAACAACAGCACAAGTTTGTGTGAAGGGATGCACACAAAGTTCTGTTTTTCATTTACTTGTGTTCAACGGTTTTCTACCAAAATGGCCTTGAAAGTTTCATCTCTGTGTGAATTTTCTCGCAGAGGATAGCCCACTGCAAATTCATATTTTGCTTGGGGAAGAGGATAGTGCATACCCACATGCATGCAGCAGAAACCCTGCCTGTAGTTTGCTTTCTGGCTAACTTTATCTCATTTTACACACTCTAGTAATTGTTATCTTTTGGTTGTACAAATAAATAAATTATTTTACATCTCATGGGAGATGCATTGCTTCACTTCATATATTTAACATGGTATTTTTTTCTGTGGACAATAGCTTGAGGCCCCATGCTGGCAAGAATGAGAGCATATCTATAAATAATTCAATATAATTCAAAATAATTGTATGGTTTTGACAGATTGTCAAGTTGCTTAATGCCTTTTGTCCCAGGTAATAGATTATATTTCTTTGATAAAGTGTGGGTAATTTCTCATTGCAATTTGTTTTGTGTATGTTGTATTTTTACAGAGTCCAGTCAGGTTCATATCTCAGTACGGGTTGGTTTACCTTAATTTTGGCTATGGATGCCTGCTATGGAATTCACGTCTATGGGATGATAAATGACACCTACTGCAAGTAAGATCACAGGAAATTATTTTCATGCATCTACAATTCTGATGTCTTGTCAAAATTTCACAATTGATTTTAATATCATAAATCCAAAAAATGGATCAGGCAGCCATTTCCCAATGTTTTGCATTGATGTGACACTATATTGTCAGCATACTTAGTACTGATATGGCATTTGTTGTTGGTAAAATAAAAACATTTACAAAGTCTAACATCAGATGTCATAAGGAACTATTTTTAATCAAAGATCTTTTGCAGTTTCTGAATTAGCTGGAAACCAAGTATGTTCCTATTCTTTTGATAAAATGTACTTACTTTACTGCTATAGATAAAATGTACTTACTTTACTGCTATACTGCTAATATTAATATATTAGTTCTCTGAATGCCAAATACACCTGGAAGTGAAAGAAACTGATTAGTCCTGGATAGTTACCCGAAATTACATTTCACAACCACTGAGCAACCTGCTTGAACTTTCTAGGTTATATATGGCTTGTTTTGAGTAGTAGGGGGTTTCTAATTAGATAATAAAACAAGTCCTGCAAGCTTTATCACAGTAAACTGACATAAATTCCAACCAACTACTGTTAGTGACCTTACAGTGACAATGGATTAATCCTATTGTCAGAAGTATAACTCCAAACACAATTTTTAAAAGTCCAAGTTAAGTGCTTTAATCTACAGGATAAGGTAGCAAAATATAAAATGAAACTATTCTTCATTCACAAAAGCAGGAAATGTCATAAACAATATACGATGCAAGTCCAAGTCTATTTTTCTGTACCTAGGCTGGTTTAAGTCCTGCATATAACCAGTTCAGGGGTCCTCAGCTCCTAGAGTAATGTCTTCATGCAGATGCTCACTCCATATTCTGTGTCACTCCAGCGTGGGAGTCATTCCTGGCAGACACCCCCCCCCCCAAAAAAAGAGGCATTTGAGTCACAGCTGTTTAATTAGGATATCATAAGAGTAGAGAGACTTTTCAGAACTTGCAGATCCCACTGATTGAGTCATCCAGATGGAACGAACATATGTTGTTCTTTGTTTATGAAAACACAGTAGGTGCCCTGAGATGAGGAGTGACAGGACTAAAGTTGTCCTCACAGAGTTCAGCCAAGCTGTCATTGCATAGCCTTGATATAAAACCAGCTAATGGCATGATAGCACTTCAGTCTGTTGACAGCAGATAAGGATTGGTTTCCTTAAAGCTGCAGTTCTGCCTGTATCACCTCCTTGTAATGTATGTTATTCTAACATGAATTAGCCAGTCCAAGAACCGGTTTCAAACGTGGGACTACTTGATGAGAAGACTTTGCTTAGGGATAGAGCCTCCTGGACTGATTGTTCCTCAGAGTCAAATAAAACGTGTAGTACCCATAAGAGCTGGCACCTCAGCTCCTTGCTGACTGATGAGTATATGTCAAGAGATACGCTTAGCTTCATTTTCTACATCAAAATTCATACAAGTCATGCTGTAATGAAAGCCCTTGTGCAATTTAGCAAAGGAGCTGAGATGCCAAAACCTGGAAGGAATTTCAGTGAATTCAACTGCAGTATATAATGTTTTTCTTGAAAATAATACTTAAGACTATCTTTTCTTTCCCTAGGTCAGAAGGCTTTCGTAAAGTTCCCTACCACTATTACGAGCCAGGAAGAGATGAGTGTGAGGAATACTACCTGCATGAAAATGCTCCATATGGAGGCCATAGGTTTATCACGGAAAAGAAAGTATTTGCTAGATGGGCCAAGAAACACTCAATAGTATTTACACACCCCAACTGGACAGTGTCTTGATAGTGGTTTTCTTAACTCTCCCTTAATAGCATAATATTACAAAAATGTCTCAGTTTACAATAATTCTGCTTACATCTGGCAGGCCTTTCTCAGCCTAAGTAACGCTAAACTAAAAAGTAGAAGACAAAGAAGGTGATGGTTCAGTAAGCAAAATTGATCAAACTGTGGAAGGCAGACACATGGCTTGTTATTTCTTAGGGTTTTACTCCACATAATGCACTTTATACTTTAACTGGATTTTACTTCAGTAGTTAAAGGCGGATGAGATTTCCTGTATATACAGGTGCACACAGGGAACATGGTGGTTCTTTAAAACTTATTCAGTATCTTAGTTAATTAAAATTTGTATTTGCAACTCATTTGCAGTACTGATAGTATTGCAGCACTAGTTCCATTTGCAGTATGGAGAATATTCCACAAAGGAAATATGAAGAAATATACAGACCTCCAAGGTCTGCTTGTCTTATTATGAGTAAGCAAATGTTAGGAAACCACCTAAATACATTGATACATGTGAGCACTTGCATATGCGGTAAAATTAGAGATGAGCTAGACGTGGTTCTTGAACTGCACACAACTTTCCACATTTTTTTCCAGCAACACTGGACTTAGCAAAGACTGTGTGCTGCAGCCCACACCAAACCTTTGCCTGTTGTAACTATCCTGCTGTCAGGATCCAGGTGTGTTAAGGTTGGCACATGAACATCTCCAGTTGTGCCTTTGAGTTGCTCCAACATCCAAATACTCGTATTTTGACAGTATTGCCTTTGCAGCCATAACAACAATTCCTCTCTCCACTTCTCCATCTTTAAAAATGGGGACAGTATCTATCTACCTCACAAGGGAATTGTGAGGATTAATTTAAGTCCATAAAGCACGTTGCTGATAAAGAATGCTACGGCATTTATTCTTAACACAAAAGCAATGGTACCTGTCATTTATTCTTGTCTGTTGGGTATTTGAAGAAAGTGATGGCATGTCTGGATATGATGGCAGATTACTCTGTGTGTCCTCGTTCCTACTGAGGATAATTTGTAATAGTTCCCTCAGCTTGCATTGCTTCAAATGGAGTTGAAAGAACTAACCACCTCCCAGTGTTATCTACACATCAAGAAGCAGTTCAAGAATTTTAAAATATACTCATCTCTAGTTGAAATATGTGTTTCCAAGCTTATTCTCATGGAAAGTTTTCAAGAGCAGCAGACTCATTCTTAATATGACCATAATTCAACTAAGCATGTGAGTTTTATTTAAACTGTATTTAAATTAATGCTTTAAGTTTAGAATGTGTCCTAAGAATATTTTAACATCTGGAATGTCAGATTCAACACTGTAATAGCCAATACTGTGAACACTTGAAAGAGTTATGTGTGGAACATGACACACAGGGTTTACTCATGCTACTTTAACATTAAACAATAGGAAACTTTGTATGCTTTTGTAAATCATAAAAAGGGGAAGTAAAAAAGATATTTTTACATGTAAGTATTTGTATACTATTTCCTATTGTATATTTGTACATATAAATCTATATTTTATATGCTCATAGCATATATATATATATTCTCATCATCAGCTGCAACTCTTATAGGATGGGGACAAAAACTCTTTACCAGTGTTACTCCTCCTGGTCATTGGTTTCCTGTTCCTGTTGGTAGGTGATACTAGGGTATAATCTCTCTTGCCCTTTGTATTGTCTACTGTAAATGCAGCTTTCTGATTTTATTTTTAATATAGCTCAGCTTTCACTGCTTACTTTAGTGCTTTAAGTGTTCATGCTGGTTAGACAAAGGCTGGGGCCATTCCTATGATCATGGATGAATACCTATATTGAAATACAGGCTCTGTTCCACATTCGTGTGACTTGATATCTCACCTTCCTGCTTGGAGAAAGAGAACAATAATACTTTCCTACTCCCTGTCTTGACTGACTTTCTTTTAAGCTCTTGAGACAGATATTCTCATTTGCAATGTATTTGTATAGTGCCTTGCAGAAGAGGTGCCCAACATATCCGAAGGCTACAGGCAATGTACAAGCAATATTTTTAAACTGGCTGTTTCTTGTCCCTGGAGTTTACAATCAATCGTAGGCTAATACAGCATGGGATGAAATCCAGAGGGGAAAGGGTCATGGATGCATGAAGGGTTGTAGTAGCAAAAGACTGTGAGCTAGATTTATTGCTATATGCATATTCATCTTTTCAGTTTAGATGGATGGCTGGATAGACAGAAAGCTAATAAGGAAATTGTAATGAAGGATTTGAAGAATGCAGGGCACACAGAAAAAGGGACAATGTTCCACATATTTTGTACAGGGAAACATAGGACAACCTATAGCTCCCCTGTGAGAAGAGGAGGTGAAAAAGAGAATATCAGTTAAATTGATCTTGTGTTTAGAAGGTATTTGGGTTAAGAGAAAGTTACAATGAAAGTGCTGCACACAAAAGTGCAGTTGGGCTTGGACCCATGAGAAATGTTCTTACAAAGCATAGACTTTATCCCAGCAAGCACAGCATCAGGATTCAGCCTGAGTTGTGTTTGCATGCAAGACCATTTTTAAGCCTGAGAATTTTTTTTAAGATAATTAAGGCATGCCAAACTACCATGAATGTGTTGTAAAATATGTGCTTCATCATGCAGCTCTTTGTAGAGTGCTTGCATGCTGTATGAAACAATATCTCGTGCTATGGCTAGCTAAGAAATATGTAGCTCTAAGAACAGCTAAATGTACAGCAAAAATGAGAATGTCATTAAGAGTGCAGTTGTCACAGAGCAAAAGTAAAAGTGTTGCTCTCTTTTTGTAGAGGGGCTTGGATGTGCAGTGAGATCCACTTTTAGAAACATTGCAGCAGACTTCATTCACAGTAGAGTAAATGAACATCAGTTCCCTTATTTAAATGAGACTGTCTTTAGCATAAACTAAACATATTTGCATGATTTTTATTATATGAGTAAGGAACTGTGACCGCTGTGTTAAAGATAATTCTACAAAGAAATGACTTTGTAGGAATTTGTTAAAAATCAGCATTGTGGTACTGAAGAAAAAAAATTCAATGCTTGGCTGTGCAGTAAGAAACCTTGATGATTCACCTTCTGAGAGCAGTTAAGACATCAGTTGAGAATCATTTATTAATTCTTTGAAATAAAGCCTACTACAGTTTACCTGAATGTAATCAGATCCTAATTGCTTATTCATTCAGGCAGTCCTATTTTAATCAACTAGTTATGTGTATAAAACAAGCAAGGAGTTTACCATGGGTTTTCAAAATAGATCTTCCCATTGCTGCTAATAGAGGGATACTTACAGATGATTTGGCTTTTTTTCCCCATCAGTCAGCTAAGTAGTCATCAAATATTTCTTTTGTAATTTAGTTGGTTGTTGAAAAGACACTTTTAAAAATATACATTTTTGGCTTGCCATAGCCTTAGTTTTGATAAAAGTTTAAATTTTAATATACTTTCTGTTGCAGTACCTTCTGATTTATATTTTTCCAGGAAAAAAAAAAAAAGAGATCTTAAATAAGAGCAGAATTTTTCTAAATCTTTTTGACTAGCTAATTACCAATTCACAGTTAATTAACTGAATAATGAAAAAAATTATTTTTGTTTTCCAAACAGATACAGCAGACACGATCCCAACCTTCTCATTCCCCCCAGATGTCCAGATTACTTCCCTCTTATACCATGGCCTCTTCACAGAAAGAAAGCAGTAGTGTATGTATCCAGCCAAATTCCCTTCCCATCTGGGCTGGGAGGCTCCATCTGCAGACTGCTTGTATCAGTTACAGCAGTAAGCAGGAAGGGCTGAGGAAGAGTTCTACTGAGGAGCAGATGGTGTTCCAACTTCTAAAAAATGTCCCTAAAATGTTTGAGGAGTGGAGTACCATTGATCTCTCCTGCAAATACTTTCCCAAATACTCTGTTTCTTAGTGTGCCATTAGCTCCTATCTAGATATGTTGTTCTACTTCCCACTGCTGATTACCAGTGAAGAGAAAATGTCTTTTGCAGGCAAAGGCAAAGGCAAATCCCATGTTGTCAAAGATGTCTATATAAGCACCACCAGGGAGGAAGAAGTCAGCCTGGCACAACTTGAGTTATGTGTAGAGGACCAACTTCTACAGATTTAGGAATTTCTGAGGACTCAATTCAAAAGTAATGGAAATCACTTTGGCAAGTTCAGACCGTGAGTAGAGCAACCATCCCAGTAAAATTTTTGCACTCCAGGGTACTGAGGTAAGCAGAGTTTTGTCTGAGAAGCACCATGTGCACATAATGCATTGCATAGTTGATGATGTTAAAGAGGAGCCCATCCAACACAAGGAGGGCTGATGCAGGCAGTGCTCAGTCACGTGGTAATGGTCCAGACAAAAGTAGGGCCCGACACAAAGAAAACTGGCAACAGAATACAAATGCTCAACCAGAGGACATGTCCAGGTAAGTACAAATTAAATAAGTAATCACTCACGAATTATATCTGGATGGTGTTCGTAGCAAGTAGAAAATCAGAAGCACTTCCCAAATAGATGCTTAAATGTTGCTGACAATATTTTTCTGCACGTATCATAGAGCACATGTTGTTAGTGGTGCTTGAGCAAGTCTGAGGCTTGTTTATGAGAAACCTTAGGGGTAGCCTTAGGAGGGAAACTTGGTGTCAGTGCTAAAGGATCACACAGGAGCTGTCTGGGGGCATTTCTATGTACCACATACATCGGAGAATCGTGTATTTACTAAAAAGGGCTGTTTCTCCTGACTAGGTATAATTAGCTCTTTTTGAGCAGAAAGTGTTTCATTTTCAGCAGATGTGTCTCATTCTGTTCCTTCTTTCCTGGGAGGATGCGGAGGAATGTGACTTAACCATGGGGGAGTGAAGAATGATATGGTGAATAAATAGCCAGCTACCAGGTTCATATGTATTTCTCTGTCTGTTGTTGTGACATACAGCTAATGACAAAGCAAAAAAACAAGCTTTTTGTAAGCTTTGTATTGCATAACCCACAAAAGTCTCATGTGTGTGGTCTGCGCTGGAGTCTCAGGCAAACCCTCCAGAAAGAGGCTGAAGGAGAAAGAGGCAGTCTCTCCCAAGTGAAAGGGAAGGCTTCTGTGTAATGTGTGGCATCCCAGGACCCACTCCTCAGCTTTTGTAGGCTCATGTAGCCTCAGCTTTGGGTCCTTTCCAACCCTGTTAAAATATGTATATTCTCCAGCTGACTTACACAGCCCCTGAGCTGCACAAAATCTGCCCCGTTCCCTTCCTTGGGTGGGGCCAGGGGACTGCTGATGCTGCACCAGGGCTGAGGAGCAACAGGCAGGGACACTGAAGTCAGCAGTGACCTCACTGGGGGCACAGTCTCACCTCAGGTGCTGAACAGTTTTTTGAATGAGGTGTGAAAGAGCTCACTGGGGTTTGGTTATTTATTTATTTTTTTTAAGGTTAACTCACAAAGAATCACCATTTTATGGGTGTCTAAAACAGCTGATTTCACATCTTTTTTTTGCATTGCTTGCTGCTATTTCTGGGACTTCATGAAGATATGCAGCTGTCAGCATCTGCCACTGATTTACTGGCCATAAAGAGATTGTAAACTTGAACTAATGCATGTTCTAACCATGTATTATGCATGATAGCATGTTATATATTTTATTCTAACACTGTAATAAATAATGTAAGTTGTGTGTAGATGTAGTTTAAGTAGCAGAAGTAGTGCTTTTTCTTACTTTCATATCATGTGTTGTCCAGAGCACTTTGCTGGAGCTCTGTGAGTGCCATTAGCAGCTGGCAGCATAGAAATTGTTGAAACCAGTCAGGAAGTATTTACTAAACTTGACATTTTTCATTAGAATATCAGAAATAGTTAAACTTGTTTTCATGAACCTACTTCAGTGCTCACAGTCACAATTTTGTGTCCTGTTATAAGGAAAACTTCACAAGTGTAAGAGAATGACTTCATTGACACAGGTAGTGTTGAGATGCTGGCAGGGCAGCAGTCACAAGTTTTGATATCTGTGGCATCTCTTTAATGGGAATTGCACATGTAGAAGAGTAGCAAAGATGCCAGCAGCTTTTTCATATTGTTGCTGCTGAAAATAGTATTTCTGAGGATGGCTGGAGCAAAAAATTGGGTGCTCACTGCTCTTTTGGCAGTTAATCTGTCCCCTCCTCACACACAGACTCTCACACACATCTGCAAACATGAAGAGTGCCTACAGGGAAAGCCTTTTTTTCCAGATAGTGGCAAGTCAGAACAAAGAAGACTAATCTCTTATGTGGCAAACATAGGCTGTAGTACTTGTTGATTCATGTTTGTTCTGTATGTTTTTGGAGCCTGTGTCTACATTAGTGAGAAATGAGCTCAGCTGGATCAGCTCTGTAGCCTGAAACTGTTAGTGCTAAGTACTTGATAACCACACCATACACAGTCTCTAGTTTGGTCCCGTGGGCTGAATGCGACATCTTTTAGTTTTATCAGAAAGGAATCAAGTCCGTGGCCTGAGGAACGCTCCATCATGCAATACAAACCTTGTTGAATGGGGCTACTATAATGGTCTGCCCCTTAGGAAAGTGAAATTTCTTTTAGCCCATCTTTTGGATAAATAGAAGCCCTTTGGGTTTTACTTATTTATTTTTCCACAGTCTTTCCATGAGTTCCCTCTTTTCATAGGTATTTTTCTTTCAAGTATGAGATCTGGTCCCTTCTGTCAGGTTATGGGAGATGAAAGCTCTTGATTCCTCCTAAAATGGCATCCAAATGTGGTGTAGGACCATGTAATCCAGTATGGGAGCAACATGGAAAGTTTGATGAAGAGTTAATCGTGATTCCACTTGTGGATGTGGTTTTAGCATGAACATGTTGAATGCTTGCTAATGTATCCATTGTTTTTTATATACAGCACCCCATTCAAAATTCCCTTCATCATTTTTCCAGGGTATTTTTTGTTGTTGTGGTCTTCCAGTTATATCTGTATATGTGTGCACATGTGCGTGTATATACAGTATACAATCCTTTTTCTGTTCTTATACAGTTGCTACTATATGCTTCTAGGAAAATGATGTAGAAAGTTCGTGTTATGCTACTTATTACATGTATTCTTTGGTTGCCTTTTTGTAATGCTGAACAGTGTATTCATAGCAGATATCATTGTAGACTTAGAAAACTTTCATGCAATTTATTTTAGATGTTTTGCCATGTGCTACATGCTACTTAGTTTTTGCTCTCACTTGGAGAATGTGCTTCTATGTACTTGCTAAATTGTGCCTGGGATATTTTAAAAATATGAATAAATGTATACAATTTTCCAATATCTCTTGCTGGATATGTTTTATCTGACATAATTTGTGTATAATTTCGTGCTAAGCACTTTTATTCTTATTGATGTATATGCCACTGTAATCATATCTGACAGTTCACTGAACTCAAAGAAAACAAGATCTCTGTTCTAGAAAGTACTATACTCTGCAGCATGCAAACATGAACTATGCCTAAATTATTTCTTAATTGACATTATGGATATCTAAGGCATCTATCCCAAACATACCAAGTAATTTTGGGAAACCTGCTCACAAAACCTACACATAGAGGAACAAGAAATGTGTTCGTTTCTTTGTGTAAATGCACCTGCACACACACACAGAAATGGAGATTTGTAGGAAAAGTATATTGGATCCCATCCATAAAATTACATCCTTCCAGCACTCTCTCAGACTGCAGCACTTTCAGAAGTCACGTCATGCAAACCCTTAGTGGACATTCACCACTTACCTGAGAGACTTCTGTGAGACTGAAGGGCTGTGGGAGAGCTCACATCTCCTGAAAAGTTGTGAAGCTCGACTTGCAGCTAGCAAGTTGACATGAGCATGAGTGGGACCACGTAACTTCTCTTTCTTCAGCAGACCTGCTGAAGGTTTCTATGGTAGCAAACCGTAACTACATTAACCTGATATTGTCCTAAGACCATCAATAAAATGCAACCAGCTTCGATGTATAAATTTTAACTTGGTGTATATGTGAATTAAACATATATAGACAGACTGGGTCTGTGAAGGGGTTGGAGATTGCAGGTATGTCTGTCAGCATTGGCATATGTAATGCAGAAACTGTGACCATCTAATTTTGTCCAGATTCTGGTACTCAGTTTCAATCCTAAAATTGAAAAGCATGGAATAAAGATTTGGTTTTTTAGAAACTGCTATTTTGTCAGCCACTACAATGAGGGGAAGGAAAAAGAGAATTTCTATGGCAAGACTAAAACTAAATAAAGGGAAGAAATGCCATTCACATGTTCAGCTTTGAGGGTCCTTCAATTTTGATATGCTGCCAAGGGGCTTGTTAAGAATTTGTGTGTTATTTTTCAGACATACTCTCTGAATATATCATAATATTCCCTTCAGAACCATTTCAGTGTGAGCTGTGAATACATACTAATAGCATGATGTAATATGGATTCATTTAATCCTTTTTCCATGCAGGATAGTTGGTTTTGTATATTGTTCATGAAGTGCATTCATACCTAATAGTAGCAGCATGGGGTAAGAATGCTAATTTATTCAATTATTTGTCATAGAACCAGACGCTCAGATAAAAAATAGTGTAATTACAGAATTATCCCCATTAGCTATTTTCAAACCCTTATGGAATAGCCAGCCTATCCCCCTGAAGTTTTTGTTCCTATGGTTTTACATTTGGATCTGATTTTATTGACTTGTGCCAGCTCTCCCAGTAATCCGTGTCAACTAGTCTCAGTGATCCTTTCTTTTTATTACTGAGCAATCCCTTCATGACTGAGTCTTCTACAAACCTTTGGTTTTTCTTCCAAATTGTTGATAAAAATGTTAACTAGAGTATGCCCACGCAGCCATCCCAACAGAATATCCGTTCTGTGATCATTCCCCATTTAAATTCAAGTTTTGAAATATCAGTTAACCAGTTTTTGATTCACTTATTGTGTGACATGTCAATTTTGTATTATTATGGTTTCTTAACTCAAATGTCACAAAAATGTCTCAAATGTCATATAGAATCAAAGTATATCTAGTGTTGTGTTTTACTTGTAGTCACAACTGGGAAAAAAAAAAAAAGCCAACAAATGTTTGACAGTATCTATTTTCCATATTGCACTTGGAGTGGCATTTAACGTATTTCTCTTCTTTAATTAGTTAGTAATTCAGTCCCCTGTCAGCCATTCCATTGCTTTGCTCCAGATCAATTTCAGACTGACAGGACTGTAATTATTTGGGTCATTAAGTTTATCCTTCTTAAATATTAACACAACACAAGTTTTCACACATCTTTCTGGAACTTTCCAAATTGTTCCAAATCTTAGGAGGGAAAAAACAAACAAAAAAAACAACGGTAATAGCAGTACAGATTCCTCAGTCAGCTCCTTTAAAACTTTTGGATACAAGTCATCTGAAGTCTCCTATGCACATGTATCTTTCTTCAGTAGCTACCATTCAATGTTTTTCCATGTGTTTGTTTTTTTTTGTAACATGGTAATTCATCATCATCCTCCTAGTGCATTACTAATTGTCTGTCCTTTCCTTAAATACCAAACACAAATACTTATTGAACACTTCTTTCTTGTCTTCATTATTCTTGACAAATCTTTCAAGTTAATCTGATAAAGAACTGTTACCATTGTATGGCTTCTGAAGGTATTTGAAAATTATCCTTAATTCTCTAGCCATACATTTCTTCTTACAATTTGGCTACCCTTATCGAAGGAATTATTTATGTAATTCCCTACTTCTACTCTGTGTTCAGTGTTATCAACTTTCTTTCTTCTTTTCATTGATTTACGGTTATATAGAAGTTTTCATTAACCTTTTGAGATAGATTATTATTTATTTATTTATTTTTTTAACACACGTGGCTTTCTTTCATAATATTACAGATACTTAATAAAATATTTGTATTTTTCAATTATTGATCAGTTTTCTCTCCCAGCTGGTTCTCCTTTACAATCGCTTTCAATTTGGTAAAGTGACTGCACCATCCATAGTACTGTTTGGGTTTCATTCTCTTTTTGCCTTTCTGTAAAGAGCAAACATGCTATCATCGTAGCCACTAATATTTAGTTCTTTTATCAAGTTCTTTGGTCTCTTTTCATTATCTGTGAGATAAGATCTCACATAAAATCACCCTTTTTTTGGAGAGTTTCACTTTTTTGTTTAAGAAATGTTCATATATAATGTTCAAAAATTCTACAGAGTAGTACCAGCATCATGAAACTTTAAGCATATGTCAGGCAGATTGAAATCTTAGATGATAGTGCAGCTTTTTTGCTCCTACACATTAGAGAAGGTGCTAAGGCACCCAGTCATCCTGTTCTCTTCTATGATTTGGTGATTTGCAGACAGCAGCTACTATCCCATCTTGGTTTTTGTGCGTTAAGAATACTGATCCAATGCATGCCAAATAATTTGCTTTTGAGCTGTCAGTGTCCTGAAATCAGACAATGTCATTTTTTACTGTATATTTCAGCACTTCTTTCTCTTTTCCCTACTTGATCTTTCCAAACTAGTTTATAACCATTGATTTTTAACTTCCAGTTATGCAGCTCTTCCCATCTGGTTTCAATACTACCAGCTACACTGAATTAATAAATAGGTAATTCTGATTCCTTTCCCTTTTTACCCAGACTCTTTAGTATTGATTTATAGAAAATCTACTAACTTTACATCCTTGATTAATTTTGCTTTTGTCATCTTGGTTTCATGCTGCGTAAGGACTCTGTTTGTTTTGCTTTGCTTCAATTCCCCTGTTAGCATTCATTTTCAGCCTCTTCCCTAGCAGATTGTTTGCCTTTTCACTGAACAGGAGACCACCCAACCTGTGCCATCCTTTCTACTGCATCAAAAAACAGATGCTCCATGTTCAGATTTTTTTTTCTTGTATCCTGTCTTCTTTTATTTGCCAGCCAAGGATAATATCCTAGAGGATCATGCAGGCATTATTCTTCTTCAGCAACATTCAGGGTTCCCTGAATTTGTGTACGATCTGTGAGGCCTCCTACGAAGCAGAGTTACCAGTGCTTAATGCATAATTATTGATGATACTCATTCCTTGACACTGTGTATCTGCCCAATCTTAAAGACATACCTCAAATCCAGGCTGCAGGAACGCTCTACTGCTCTCTGTTTTTCCTTTGCAATGCAGTCTTTTCAGTCATCTTTGTATTTCCACCCTTTCCCCCAGATCAGTTCAGCTATACATGATCACTAGCTGCCCTTTTATTAAATGCAGCTTCCACCTCTGGAAGATTCTGAAGTTTGGCGTGGGGAATGAGAGACAGGGGAAAACCATCCTGTTTTAAAATGAAGATGTAGGCTGTTTTAACACATCTGCCTGGGTGCTTCTTTTTAGTGTTGCAAAGAGAAGCCAGAGCTCCGTGGAGAGCCCAATCCTGGGGCTAGCAACTTCCATCTCTCCTCTGGATTGGCAGAATTTGGGAACTACAGGCTCTAGGCTCTCAGCCAGTGTATAAAGTGAGCAGAGGAACTGTCAAAAATGAAACAGATTAAGAACTGGCTTGTTTTGTCAGAAGATTGATCAAATTCTGCACCTTTCTATGGGAGATTTAAATGACAACCAACTAGCATTCTTCACTGGGGAAAAAAAAATCTACCAGAGAAATCCTGATTAACTCTTCTCCTGTCCAGTGGAGAGCTATCTAAATTAATTGTCTTTGACAGGTGAGGTCTGTCCTCATCTTGGCACAGCAGATAAGGTACTGGTTACAACACATCTGGTTAGCCTTGCACAGCTTTTTAATTACAACAAAAGCACTTATCACAAATGTCTTGTAAACTCAGAATCAACAGCATTTGGATTGCAGATGCTTGGCTGTGGGGTTTGATGATTTACCTGCTTAAACATTATCAGTCTTCTGTGACCAACTTTGTCTTCAACCCATTCATACAGTGTCTATAGTTCATCAAGACCTCCTACTCAGGCTTTTGCTGCTTTTTTTTTTCTTTTTTTTTTTTTTTTTTTTCTCAGAACTTCTAAAAAGATGCTCAGTTTTGATGCACTGCAAGTTGTATTGCTTCATCATCTTAGTGACCTGATTGGAGAAAGGTACTAAGGCACTTGATGTATGGTGGGCAAAAAGTTTGATTGCCTCCTTGTTCTATGTATTCATACTGCAGAATTAGGGAAAGAGCTATGCAAATGTGTTCCCTGAAGTTACCGTAGTAGCACTGAAAATCCCCTGATAACTAACTTGCAGGCTATGGCTGCACGGTACAGAACAAGCCCATGCCATGTGGAAGAACTCTAGCCAGCTCTGAATGAACAAGTTTT